TCATCCAGCTGGTCTGGGGATGGAGATAGGAGAGACGCAGTGTGACCACTGTAGAACAATGAGCCAGAACACAGATGACAGAAAGACAGAAAGGCTGCCTTTGATGGAAATTTTAGGCAGAGACCGAGTCAGTTCAAACACCTCCTTGAATTGTATCTCAATTTCAGGTTCCTGTTCAGCTTTGCTAATTTAAAAATCATTCAACAATCATTTAATTTAATACAAAAATAAATATCTTTAAATCAGTTAGAGGCATGCATATATGCATTTAACACCTGATCCCCATGAAGAGAATTATTCTGAACCTCATGTTTTGATGAATTATTTTCTGGTGAAGATGTGTGTCTTCAAGTGGGTGTGTGATGTTTGCGAGCTTACACACAGTGAAACATAATGCAGGCACTGATATGGAAAAATACTAAAACAGGGACACTTATGACGCTAAATTAAGGTTACATGTATGTAGGAATGGGTCGTATAAAGTAAGTAGAACAGGCGATTTTGAAAATTAGTTTTCATAGCTTGCAGGCATGAAGAGCAGGAGATTAATTCTGTAAAGGTAGGAATATTTCCCAGTAGATTTTATATTGACTATTTAACTGATGTACGTAGAGGAGGGCAATCTAGATGAATCGATCAACAGATAATTAATCAGCAGTAATTAAAATAATCAGTTTAAATCATTAAAGTTATTTAGAAAGCAAATATTTGCTGCTTCTGGCTTCACATATGTGAGAATGTTTTTTATTGATTTAAATCAGTGTAACTGTAATATGTTTAGATTTTTGACTGCACAGCATAAACCTAAATTCTATGGACTAAAAGATTCACTGAGCTGCATCTCTAGTTGAGATAAATGTATAATAGCAGTATTGCCCTTAAAGAATTACAACAGTTTGATTTAAGTGTGTTGTTAAGCTTGATTATCGTGGGTACTTGTTGTTTAGCAGTGTCACTTGCAAGTCGGGTGTAGCTTTAAAGGCAAGGAGAAAATTATTCACTGTTGATTTTTACTCACACTTTCCTGATTTGAATCTGCACTGATAAATCCACAAACTGTTTTTTTTTTCCTCAGACAATGTCTGTAACCTCACTGTTGAAACTGCATGTGTAGAAATTTTATTTAAATATTCTCAAAATGGTTTTACAGATGCAATTAATTTCTACACTAATTGCCCAAATTTCTTTACCACATTTACAAACTCGCTAATTCCTAAACATTTTTTTTAATCTACATGTCATCCATTTACACACATTCACGCTCAATGGTTTTTTTTTTACAGACTCACACACAGTGATAGATACATCTGACAGCCTTGAAAGCTGAAAATCTCTTAGACCTTTTTGTTTATGAAAGATTGCACATAGAGAATGTCCAAATGCATTCATAGGCATTACTTGTTAAAAATCCAGCTATAGCGTATGATGTAGTGCTGCACCCAGTGGACCTGAAGTACAGGCAGCATGCTTTTTAGTAGCTTCATCACCTCGTCACAGAGCAACACCTGTGGTTAGTATGGTTCTTTTTGTTTGTTTTAGCTTTTCTCAGAACTTCTGTTTTTCTGTCTGAGAGAGAAAGTCTCCTAGTCACGACAAATGCATTCAGGTTTCCACATTCATACAAGCATAATCAAATGTGCAAGAATGTTCAGGTTGTGTCTGCTTTTCCAAAGCCCCTACATTTTCCCAGTACTTAGTGCGCATTCGCACCTACACACCCACTCACACACACACACACACACGCTTAGCTCTGTCGGCATCTTTCAAATGTTGTGACCTGTGCAGAGATTTGCATGCACAGATTGTGCTTGTGCTCCGTTTTGCCAATCAAATGATTCGCAATTGTTTATCCCTGCACGCACTCAGACGCACACCTGTACACACGTGTAAATTTTGCAGGGCACAGAAAGAAAGGTATATGAGCCTGAGGAGCTGGGTCTGAAAGCAGAGAGGGTCAGAGTTTAGGTGTGTTGCAGGAGAGCCACAGATGATTGTCAGCTTGTAAACTCCCCACCTGACTGAAAACCCAGCGGTCATGATGTGGTCTGCATGGCTGTATTCACTGTGGAGTGTTGTTGTGTCAGTCGGAGCCATTTTTATTATTACCACCATCCACCTCTGCACCAGCCATCCTAAGGTACTGTTACACTGCCAGCGTTACGTTTATTTTAGTCAAGGCTTACATGTACTAACTCAGATTTAGTCCTGGCTAAGTAATGTTTGACATCGGTACTTTTGGAGTTACTTACTGGGGTATAATAACACTAGTAATATCACTGTGATAATTGAATCCTCTGGTTTTTTTTAAGTCACACACAAACCAACCCTGTCTTCTCTTGTCCTCTATTCTTTTCCACTCCCCCCCCCTCTGATTGCATTTTAAAGTCTATTATTAATCACATTAGAGGTAGTTCATACTTTCTTTTACTTCTGTCAAACACACACACCAGCTGTAAGTGGGCAACACGGTAGATGGGCGACAGTTCGCTCTGACAGAGAAAGCACAGACCCTGGCTACTTACCAAGCTGTAGCCTGATACTCTTGCTCTAAATCTAACTGGCTAAAGATGGTGAAAAATATGATAAGAGGATTTCATTTAATTCATTTCTCTTTCTGGTTACAAAGCTTAATCGGAGTTGCTGCAAGCCGTTGCTGTAGCTACAAGACAGAAACACTGGTTGAGATATTGTTTGTTGTTTCATTTCAGCCTTTATTTATTCAGGAAGAGCTGCAAGTGCCTATATTTCTAGTCAGAACTAAACACTGACACATGGAGATGACAAGCTTCTACTCGATATTGCCTTTTGCCTCCATGCCACGGTCATTTTGAAAATCTTTTTTTCTGAAATTGCAAAGAAAACATTCTGTTTTTATATGGGCTGAAGTAACAGGAACATTTCAAAATATTTGTATCCAAGAAATCAATTCAGTAAACTACCAAACACACTGTCAATACCTCGCTGTTCTCTAATACCCATATCCACTTTGCATTTGAGTTAGTGTGTGTTAGTGTTGTATGTTTTGTTTCTTTTTGTTCTCTCGTTCACTGGTGCAGAGGGGTACCACTCATGTGACTCTTCATTGCCTGAAACAGAGAGAAAGAGGAGATGAGAAAATGTGTGTGCCTGAAGGTATGGGTGTCTGTGTGCCTTTGTGTTACTTACATTAGGGGGGCCGAAAGCTGTTAACACACTCACACTGTGGGGATTTGGCCAGAGCCTGGTCTCCGCAAGGAAATCACTGAATTTTAGGGTGGCAACATGGCTTAAGGTTAGGGTCAGCATTAGGGTTAACCGTAACCAAGTAGTGGTTATGGTTAAGGTTATAATAAATCTAAAGGAAATGAATGTGAGTCAATGTAAAGTCCCCACAAGGAATGAAAACACAGCGTGTGCATGTGTGTGCGTGTATGACTAACCATAGATAGTCATGCTATCAACTGATGAATTTTCTTCAGGTCCAGATAATGTGACACAGGTTATATATATCCTTCTATGGTCCTCTCTGAGCTTATCTTTCCTTTCATGCGCTGCTCTCTCTTCTTCTCTTCTATAGTTATTTGCAGACACAACATTATTTCTTCTGGTATTTGCAAAGCAAACGAAATGTTCTGTGGATGAGGTCACATCTTTAACACAAATCTGTTAATAAATAGGACATTTCAGTCTTAAAGAAAACCGACCATGAAAGGTGTGTAAAACTTTTTTTTTGAAGTTTTTGATTTTTTTAAACTTTTAGTGTTGCAACATCCACTGGTCACAACGTCACAATTTTGCACAGCCGAGCATTGTCTAAACCCACAGAACAAGACATCTGGAATTTTTCCATCTGATGTAATGCTGCCAGCAGGAAAAAAAAGCGGTGTTTGGGATTTGAATATTTTAATCATAGCTTAGGAAAATTTAGGGAACGCAAAAGGCTGAGGGTGACATTTTGTAAGGACGACTTTCACCTTGTGGCTTTGCTCATTTGAAAATGTCACACTTTTTGTTCTTCAAACATAGTTTCCTAACTTGTCTTATCCTTATCAAATAACCATAACAGTTATTATTATGCAGGGAACAGGCAGTACTTTGTGAGAGTTTAACATGTTTCCCCAGCTGCAGTTCTTCTACAGTTAAATATTAATATACAGTGACTTGAAGGAACGTCTGTCCATTACAAAGACGAACAGCTGGAGAGAGAGAGAGAAGTGGACTCGAATCACTCTGTGGTCACTGAGGGAAAACCTGTCAAAGTAGAAACAATTTGCTGTATGTGTCTGTTTGTGAACGTTTGTGTGTTTGTTTGTGTGTATGGCAGGAGTCCCGCAGTTCATTGAGTCCTTTCCAGGGACAGGGAGAGCCCTTGGCAAGACACTGTGTGTGTGTGTGTGTGTGTGTGTGTGTGTGTTACCAGGGGAAACCCCAGCTCGATCCATCAGAGCCTAGTTAAATTGTTAAACCAGCCAAAGAGAAAAAAAGAGAACATTTGGTACAAAAAGGCAAACAGAGATTGAAGAGAGTTCCTCCAGGGTCAGGGATGCCCCAGTGTGTGTGTGTGTAGTGTGTAGTGTGTAGTGTGTATGTGCTTTAAAGACTTGTTTTGCTTATGACCATGAACTAAAGCAGTAAAAAAATCTTTTCTGAGGGATTTATTCCTGGCTTCACACGGCCCCCTTAGGGACTGAGCATTTAGTAGACTTACGTATTTGAATTCATGTACACTTGGTACACTTTGTGGTACACTTTGCTTTGTACCAACATTAAATCTCACGCGGTCAAACATGTCTAAAATGTTTACATAACCAGAAGTACAACCATTGCATTGACTCATCGGTTTTGGAAACAGAGTGCTTCAGAGGCCAGTGATCTTTGCTGTTCAACCAGTCAGACAAGCAGGATTATGGTATCACACAGAGTCAGTATGATTGTTAAATGTCTCACTCAGAAGTACACACTGTTGGTAAAAAACAGCTGAAGGATAATCACTCCTGTTGTGTGTTTGTTTATGTTTTTAGCACAAGTCTTGGAAGAAAATTAAGAACATGGTTCACTGGTCTCCATTTGTCATGTCCTTCAAGAAGAAATATCCCTGGATACAACTGGCCGGGCATGCAGGTAGGTGGATGCACAAATACACACATTTGATGGTGAATAATAATAAAACATGAATACCTTTCTGTCAGTCACACAACAGAGGTTTCCCTGGCTTGACAGACGATAAGATTACAGGCTAGAGTTTGTTTTTGTTTCCGAGATGTATTTTGTTTTATTTTCTTTATATGGTTTGTTCAGAAGAAATTTTAAGTCTAGTTCAGTGGTCCTAGTTGGTGCTATTTCAGTGAGCAAATGTCAGCGAAGTGTGTGTTGGGATAGGTATCAATGTAAACTTCAGGCAGTGCTTTCTTTGAATAGATGTCTTAGAGGGGTGAGGCTCATGCAAATAAAAAAAGAACTTGCAGTTCTTCCTCACTTAACCAGTTCAGTTGTATAAAGCTAAGGCACAAAGTATCCTAGTAGTATAATATTAAAACAATTTGTTTGCTTGCATTATCTGAGCACTTTCTCTAGTTGCTTCACAGTATACGTGTCTTTTTCCAGGGAGCTTCAAGGCAGGAGCAAACGGCCGCATATTAAAAGTAAGCTTTGCCGTTGGACTGCGTTAATACATTCTGGTTCTGAGAGATTCCTCATATTGTTTATTCTGAATCAGTGCAGACAAAATCTATATAATGATAGTAACTTGCTGTTGATATCCTTCAGAAACACTGTGAATGTGAGCAGCGATGTTTATCCCTCCTGATGAAGGACGTGCTGCGCCCGTACGTCCCCGGTTACCATGGAGACGTGGAGAAGGACGGCCAGAAATACAACCAGATGGAGGATCTGCTGGCTGAGTTCGATTACCCATGTGTGATGGACTGTAAGATGGGAGTGAGGTGAGAAAACGCAGTTATACTAGTGAAATAACCATTGGTAATATACTGGTAGATACTGCCACAGTCCTACAATGGTATCGAGAAGTTCTTCGATCACAATATTGCAAAATTACAAATATTGTTACGTTCCTATTTACTATAGCATTGCATTTTATTTGGAGGCAAATCCAAGTTAAAACGCCCACATGTCTGTAATAGTCCCTTATTGTGCTTGTACTTCAGGTCAGTTTGTACCCATAATGGATGTCTGGGTAATAATTATACCATTTCCCTTTGTTTTTCTTCCAAATATGTGAAGCTAGCCCATGGGTTTGTTTTAAACCCACGTGACTGCTTCACTGCTTGTTTTGTTGGGCCTTGTCAGATTGCTTTTCTGGGTCTCAGCAGTTGTTTTTGACAGTGCAGTGATGTATTATTATGATTGAAATATCTGATTGCTGAACAATAAGACCCAAATTGCAATAAATTGGAATTATTCTTTGCCATTAGGCTGTAGATTAAACTGTGGGAAGCTGTGTGATGCTGTTTGCTTCTCTCTCTCACCCTTTCTTCTCATGTCTTTCACCCGTCATTTTGCCTGGTCTATCCCCTTCATCACCCACCATCTGTTTTTTCTTGGACTTCAGGACGTACCTTGAGGAAGAGCTGACTAAGGCACGTAAGAAACCCTCTCCAAGACCCGACATGTATCAGAAAATGATTGAGGTTGATCCTGGGGCACCTACATCAGAGGAAAATGACAAGAAAGCGGTGACCAAACCAAGATACATGCAGTGGAGAGAGACCATAAGCTCAACAGCTACCCTGGGATTTAGGATAGAGGGAGTAAAGGTGAGAATAACAAAGAGAAATGTGTGTTTGTATGTGTATGTGTGTGTGTGCTTCCTTCCCTGCTTTTCTCCAGTTTTCACTGGGTGTTTCTTAAATCTCTTATCAGGGCTCATGTTTACTTCACTTGCATCTTTTCCTTGCATCTTAGTCCCACCAGCATAAGATGCAAAGAAGAAAATGCAAGTAAAACATACGAGGAGAAAAGCCTGAAATAACCATGGTATTAATGACATGGTTTCCCCTGATTCTTCATTTGAAGTGTCCAGTCACCAACCGATTTCTGATAAAGGGGCATGTCAGTTCACAAAAAAACTTCCCCAAAGGATGGTCTCGTCTACCCTCGCTCATGGCTTCTACAGCAGCCTTCTTGCTCCTCAGAGACGATATAAAAACTCGGAACGTCCTTGGTCTTCTAAGGACATAGGAACTATTATATACAGTAAGAGACTTGAGGAACACCCACTGTGTCTGTGGTGGCGTGTGTCCTTCAGGAGCATGACCTAACTTCCTGTTTTGACTAGGAACTTCCTCTGAAGTATGTTTGTGCCTGAGTTCCTTTGTTGCACACAAGGCCTGTCCATGGCAGCTCTATAGGCCTTGACATCTGGCACTGACATTGCATACAAACACACACAGATCTCTCTCACTGTTTATTTGAGGGCTGTGGCTATATAAGGACATTCACACCCTCCCTGTGGTCTGTTTCCATGACACTGAAGGTTATCCCCAGTAACAGAACTGTGTGTGTGGGGGGGTTGGATAAAATGTGTCTGTGCTGTATCTGAAAATGTGTCTGTGGGAGTATGCGTACATTATAAGGCATGATCAGGTATGATCTGTGTGCACGTCTGTGATACTCACATTATGGGGACCAAAACTACACACTGTAATTCAACATAATGTCCTCTGAAGTGAGGACATTACATACCAGTGTGTGTGTGTGTGTGCGTGTGTGTGGGGGTTGGCTGTGCTCACACTTGATGAACCATAAAGGGAAAAATACTTGTCTCCAAGTAGTACTTTGCTGCCTGGCAGCCATCAGAACAGGAAAAGCTAATTTATTCCACCCTGAACCAACCAGCTGGTGGGCTGCCACTGCTTGTAGTGCTTCTGATGCTAGTCTCCTGTACCACTGCTCCTGGTGGACATGCACTAACCCCACCACTGCTAGAACAAAAACACTGCGCCTACTATCACTACAAGTTCCACTACCACTTAGTGCTGCTACTACAACCATTAGTGCTTCCACTTTGCCTTTAGCAGAGATGGAGAGTACAGTAAATGTAATATGCTTTGCTAGGGTTGATTATTTCATTTTTATGAGACATGTACATTGAGCTGGTGTTGGTGTATTGGTAAAGGTCAGCTCTGTAGATCGGTGGTGCCTTCAGGCCCATATACAGATTAAATTAATAATCAGTTAATCCATAAATAACTGACAAGTTCATGACATGAAAAGGAATTTTTCTGTACGTGACTATGGATGGTAAAGTCCTTCCCATCTTGAAGACTCAGTCTTTAAAAATGCACTTCCCTTCCTGTTTCCTTTCCTCCCACGCTGCTTTTCTTGCACCTTCTGTTCCCTGCTCCTTTTCCTTCCTCACCTCCTGACCTCTGCCCCAGATTCATCCTTCTCATCTGTACAAGTAGCCTGGAAGGTGTAGTTTGTAAAGTTAGAAATTGAATATAAACACTGTTTTCCATCATAATGCTCCCTACAGTGATGTGTCGTTTGTGCAAATCAGCTAAAGTAAAGTCTGTTCTCATTATGATGGTCTCCTCTCTTCCGCTCCGTAGAAGGAGGACGGGACAGTGAACAGAGATTTTAAGAAGACGAAGACAAGAGAGCAAGTTACTGCAGCCTTTTACGACTTTGTCAAAGGAAATAAGGACATACTGGTGAGTATGGTTGTGGTTAACTACATGCTTTGACCCTGAATGTGACAGAAAAACACATCAGCAATGAGCTGAACTGTTCTGACACTTTGCTCTTTCCATAGATGTGAGGATATTCAGTGACGTACAGTAATGCATAGCCCCTTACCCTAACCTAACTATAATCACGTCATAGCCCTCAGACAACCCTAACCAACTAAATGCCTAAACCTAACCTAACTCTAATCACGTCATAGCCCTCAGACAACCCTTTGAAGTTTTGAGGGTTTGCAAAATGTCCTCACAGTAATGGTACCCAACTAAAATTTGTTCACACAACCATAGGAAGAAAATGTGCAGACATGCGTACACAGATGCACGCATAAACAATGTGACTTTAATTATCCTGAGCCAGAAGGAAAGGGAAGTCCTTGGGAACTCCCTGAGCTCAACACACGCATGCACACACACACTACTAGTAGTATTGGAAACATTAATGACTATATTGTGTGTTTTATTTGGACATCAGGGATTATTTGTTAAATAATCAAAACAGACATTCGAGCTTTTAAATTTTCCCAGCACCCATCTTTTAATTGTAAAAATTGCTATCGAAAGCTATATTGTGTAGCAGACTGGCCTGAGGATAGAAAATCAGAGTAGGGTTTACTTGTTGATCCATTCAGCAGCTCAATTCTGATAAAGCCAACAACACTGCCCTCATCAGAAGTGGGCAGAACTGAGAGAAGACAATAAGACAAAGTGTTTTGTGTTCATTTTGCAGAACGGTTACTTAACCAGGCTGAAGGAAATCAGAGACACTCTGGAGATCTCCCCGTTCTTCAAAATCCACGAGGTAAAGCCACTCGTCCCATGACGGAAACAGTGTCATACAGCTGCTGCTCATGTCGATGCTACTCCAAGACAAAAATATGCACACCTATCATAAAAATTGTCATGTCCTTCATTTAACAAACTTCATTTAAGTCAGAAATAAAACTAATATTCATAAGATTCATAAGAATTTTGTGAAAAATGGGTATGTGTATAATACTATTGAGTACACATGCATGCAGTTTCACATGCACACCCACAAACATACAAACAAACATGGCAGTAGATTTGAATGTAAGACGTTGGTGGCAAAAAACAGGAAGTGATCAAGTTTTTAAATGACACAAACACAATGTCAAGTAAAAAAAAACAAGAAAACAGTTTGAGTAGTTCCTGTTTTCTCTGTGTGACTCTGCAGGTGATTGGCAGCTCCTTGTTGTTTGTTCACGACAGCAAGGGACGGGCCAAAGTCTGGATGATTGACTTTGGGAAAACCACACCTCTTCCTGACGGGGAGGAACTGACCCATCGAGCATCGTGGGTAGAGGGCAACAGAGAAGATGGCTACCTTTTTGGACTTGATAGTTTGGTGGACATCATTTCAACCATGGTGAACTCTTGAGTCTGAGGAGTGTTTTAATCCAAGTGAACATCTAGACTCACAACAGCTGTTTCCATTCATTCTTTTTTTCTCTAGGGAACACGGTGGACTTTCACAAGGACTCCGTCACAGATGCTTGTCCTCCTGTAGGAAACCACATCATCCGAAAGCAGTGTGTGACCAAGGCATTGACAGATGCATTCTCTTTATTCATTTTCAGTGGAGAGTCACAGCATAGTTCTTCCCCATTCATAGCATTCTTGTGTCATCCATACCCCCTCGAGGGCAGGCCGTAAGCAGACATGTTACGACAGGTGTTACTAATGACTGTAGCAACATCTCTGTTCACATAAGTGTCCCAGTAATTCATGAACAATATTAACAACAACATTAATGCACAATATCATTAATGTTGTTGGTTACACCTGTGTTTTTTTCTTATGAACTGACTGCTGTAAAAAAGTGTAACATTTACATGCATTATGTATGTATGTGTTTATAAGCAGAAGATCTAGATTGATTAAACTACATTAAAGGGTTAGGTTCTGAATATTCTATATTTTTGTTTCTGTGAACGAATCCCATGAAAAAAGCAAACCAACAATGTGTCAGTCCACCACTGTTGCCTGGTTTGTCTGTGGCTCTACCCCAAGTTTATTTATTAAAAAAGGCAGAATCATTTCCTAAAATAGCTGGACATTGCAGTTTTTAGCAAACCTTAGTTCACTCTAGTGGATATCTAGAGCAGCGGGACAGTGCATGTGGAATTAAAATGAACTATGCCTGTGTTTCATAATCAAGACCTATAAACACACAGTGCAACAGTGTGGCTCACTGACACGTTTTGGACAGCAACTGATCTCTATGGCACAGAGAAATATGTTGTATTATGGTTTGCTGTTCTTTATAGGCCTTGGACTTTTCTCAGGATTTGTTGATAATAACAAAAATATCAAATATTACCAGAGTGGAAAGCAACAGTGTGTGGAAACTGAAAAATCTGGACTTTGGTGCCACCTATTGGTGATAACAAAAAGGACATTGTTAATGTCTACCACCTTAAATTGAAAGATGCTTTAATGCCATAAACATTATTTACATATACAGAGGATTAGTTACAATTTAAACAGCCAAAATTCTCTTTGCCAGTAATTTGGGACCCATTCATTTTACAGCTACAGCATGTAACTTAACCTACAGCATGAAAATCCAAATCAACCCACTCTGCTCCACCCACTGCTCCTTCTCCCTGCTCCACTGTGCTCCACTACACTCTGCCACACTCTGCCCAGCTCTTCTGATATTCGTCATTATAAAATTACAATAAATGAGAATGCAACAAAATTTACTGATCAAGCAGAAATAACGGAAAATCTCTGGTTAGAGAGGTCAGTCCCGCTTAAAACCTTTTAGAAGTTATTATCTCTACACTGCTGCCAGTGCTGTTCAATGAGTCTGGGTCACAGGAAGCTTCAACAGCACTTCTCTACATTTAAGACAAGTTTTGGAGCAGATTTCTACAACAAAAATATTTGAAGAGAGTTACATGCTGTAGCTCTAAATAACTGTCTAGTTCCCAGCTTCTGTGTATATCTGTTAGACTCACTTAAATGTATCTCTATTGAATCAGGGTTCAAATGTATGTCTTCCTTAGCAGAACTGAACTCCATATTACTTGTATTTTCTCTTTAACCACATTTTCAGCACACTGCCAATCTCTGCACTTAATTACATCTCCACTGAGACTGTAATGTTAAGTGTTTTTACTCATCAAATCACAATTTTAGGTGTATCTTACAGTGGAAAGCTAAACTAGTCTTTTAGGTCTTTGTCATTTCTGCTCAATCAGTCACACTCAAAGACAGAGAGTTTAGATGCTAGAAGTTGGTCACTGAGGCCACCATGTTTGCTCCACAATAACTGGCAATTAGGTGGAGCTGAATCATACATCTCACAGTTTGTTATGGAAGAGGACGTTGTTTCATATGTAACATATTTGCAGCTAACATGGTGTCCATATTACTTCCATGGCCAAACACTTATTACCCTTCTCACACATAAGTTGGGATTGTTCACAGTGTACAGTAAGATTTATGATGTTTGATGTAGTTTTTAATTTTAACATTATGTTAGTCGACTCCTACAAAACACTTACAGCCATGAACAATTTTATTTAAGCTATAGAGTGCCTTGACATTACAAAGCCAAGTCATACAACTGAAAGCATGTTTCTGCTTTTTATTGTTATGATGCATGTCTTAACTGTTGGTTCATGGGTGCATGCTTATCATCCTCTTAAAACTGGTCTTAATCTGTAGTTCATTCTGTTTTTATTTTTTATTTATAACCTTTTTCAGTTAATGGATACAGTGACATTTTGAATTCTGGGCTGTTATGTTGTTGTGTTTTAAAGCATGTGTTACAGTATGGGTGAAGTCAAACTATTGAGGCATGTTGCTGATGTTTTGGGCATCCCATATTCAAACCATTGGATATGGTTATAGAAAAGTTTGGTGATGTTCACATAATGATACCAGTTTATTTTAATGGTTAATTCAGTCACTTAGAAACTGGTTGGGCAGGCAAGGGAGAACAATGCCTCATACAGTAATGTAACAGGTTCCTGATGAACAATAAAAACTTAATGGTATGTAGTTTCCACTCAACCGTTTATTTAAAATTACATGCTCTTTCTTCTATTTTTACAGTGACTGTAGACAGAATGATTGTAATTCTGTGCAGTGCCTTCTTAAAGACATAGTTCAACATTTTGGGAATACACTTGTTAGCTTTCATGCTGAGATAAGTGTGTGATACCACTCTTATGACTGAATGCTAAATGTATAAATATGAGGCTTAGCATTAAGATTGGAAATGGGAATGTTTATTGATTAAGCAGGATATATAGTGAACTTTAAAGCTGGCTGATTTAATTACCTTTGGGCAGGGGCTGTTTCCCCTTGTCTCTACTCCTTATGCTAAGCAAAGCTAAGCTATTCAGTTGTTGGCTGTAGGCTCACTTTTAATGGACAACTATAAGTGTGGTGTCTTCTTCTTCTCATCTACGTCTTGAGAAGAACACAGGTAAGCATATTTCCCAAAATGTTAAACTGTTCCTTTAAGAACAGCCATCTTAGCTGTTGCTTATACTCCACAGTGTGCACTTAACCGCTGCTTATTAGTGTGTAGCCTCTCATAATGGTCTGGTTTTGCCAGCTTTTGTATTTATTTGTATTGGTCATTTCAAAAAGTGCGTATCTGGTGAACAAGTCCTACTTTTATATGTGATTTCTGTGAAGTATGGTGTCTATCTATCTATCTATCTGTCTGTCATTCAGTTGTCAAGGAAGTCAGTCAATGGTAGAAAAGTGTTTTGAACAGTCATCGCAGTGCTGTTGCAGTATAGGAACAGCTGTGTATATTTTGGGGGGATGAAGGTGTAGCCCCTAAATGTGACTATTTCTACATTAATTGAACAGGATATGTGTTCACTTAAGAGGGACAGTGAGTTTATTTAGTCTGAGAAACAGTTATAACATCATTTATACAACACAGTGCAACATGGGACTGTAAGGAAAGGCTATGTGCTGTACCCTGCTGTCACTTTACTAACATTGCAGAGTGACTCATCTCAAAAGTCAGTCAGGACCCAAATTTGGGTTATAACCAAATCTTAAAAGAAACTTTCAATATATATGTAGGGAAGTGGATTTGGACTTGTAGTTATTTGTATTTTTATTCGTATTTAAGCTATTTCATTTAGGCCTTTTATGTGTACAGTTTAACACAGTAACTGCTTCACTTTCTATGCACTTTAAACTTTCACTCATATTTTATGCAATTTTTTATTTTATAATTTCTTCTGTTATGTAATCGATAAGCAATAACAATCTAATTGGTCCACGTAGTGCTGTCCACGTAACAACAGCAGATGGCAGCAGATGCCACTTTCACCGTCGAGGTCTCTCAGTGGTCGAGGTACATTTTTATTTTTCCTCTTTGATATTTGCGTGGTGTCTTTTCTTAATGTGTCGCTTCTTATTATCGTTTCTTGACCACGTGTACCTTGTAAAAGTGAAATTTGTTATAGACCCCAAATAACATTTGGTTTTGCGTTGTGATGCAGCACAGACCAGCACTTTGTTTTTCTTGCGTGGTGAGCCAATCAGGGGCCGCGTTTTAGCCCCTCTTCCTGTCAACAGGCGAAAAGGACCAATAGGCGCAGATGATGTGTTGGACAGAAGAGCAAAAACCAGAGCTATGTGTAAATGGGGTTGAGTAAATAACGTGGCACAAGCGATAAGCCATGCTACCTTATTGAATGAGTTGAAGGGTGGTCAGATTAGAGTTGAAGGGTGGTCAGATTAGATTTGAACCAGATTTAACAATTCCAGAGAGAACAGTTTCACACAGAAAGGTAAACAGCAACTGAACATGTTGTTCAAACTGAGGGTTACATATCTGCAAAACACATCACCTAGATTTTAAACATTCACGTACAACTATAAATTCTCAGTGCGAAGTGTATTGCTTAATGTTGATGTTTTTCACCCAGTGCTCCACGCTCAGAGTTTGTGTGTGCTGCACACCAGAGGGGCCAGATATAGGCGGGTTGCGTCAACGCAGGGCTCTGGCTGCTGCTGTGCGAAGTTAGTAAATAAGGTTTGACCTCGTGTTGGAGAAACAAACTGGATTAAACGCTGCTAGCAGCAGCAGCAGCAGCAGCAGGAGGAAGAAGGAAATGAACACATAGCCTGCAACTCCTTCTGCAAGCAAAGTGTGATCTGGGAAAAGTAAAATCTTCTAATCTGTTTTTGTATTTTAACAAAAACAAAGGGTGGTCGTTGGACTAGTCCGCCACATTTGATCTCGTCTCTGAAACGCTCGCTACACGACAACTGTGGGTGAGTATCTGTAACGCCAGTGCTATCACAGATTACCATGCATTAGCTAATAAATGCGGCAGAAGAGTAGTGTTCGTGGTTCTCTTCGTTTTGTCTTTAGTCTCGTTCACCGTTGCTTCGACCTCAAACTGGCCTAGCATACAAACTGCTGCAGTAGCAGCAACAACATGCGCTGACGTTCCTTACGTCCATGGCTGTTCCCAGACCAGTACAGCCATGGACGTTCAAGTACCTGAAACAGTTTATTGAACGCGCTCTGTTGTGCACTTTCACTAGTTTACAACAGCTATAATGATATTAGTATAAACCGTTACAAGACAACAACATGCGCGCGCGTTGCTACAGAGTCTCGTTGCTACTTGTCTACGAGGAAGTTAATAACCTTAACGGATTTTAAATGGACGACTCTGGTAAATTTGAGGGATTTATGTGGTCTAAGTCTCATAGTGAAATGTTGTGCCTACAGTAACTGACTAAACTGTATTAAATGCGTTTGAATGCTGTATGTTTGAAAGGGGCTAAGCGTTTGTAAACTAAGTAATGTCCTCCTGGAAACTACATTTTGTTCTGTGGAATAAGTAAATTGTTCGCATTCAGCTTAATATTTTCATGTCATTTCATTTTCCCTTGACAAAGTCACTAATGTTTTCATCTACTAATAAGGATGTATGGCGCCTGATAGTGCATATATCTAGACAGTCAGCCCATAAATGTAAAAAGGCATAGTATGTATCAGGGGTACACATTTCCTTATTAAAAAGGGTTGTTTATGTTTTACAGCTGCTAAAAGCAACAAATTGTGGCCAAGATTTTATTATTAGAATTTTTAAAACACTCAGATATTGTATTAGCTGTTGATCAGGACAATAACTGATTATTTAATACCCTGTTGTAGTCATTACCAAAACAAGATTATGTTTTCAAAGGAATCATGTTAACTTCCATAACAAATTTTTACTGAAAGGCCTTTTTTGCTGATTTTTTTTTATTTATTTTTTTTATTACAGTGCTTATAAGCATGTAATATCAGTTCATTTGTCTCCCTGTTACTGGAATATACTGAATGAAACATACCAGATAGGAATAGTGGTCACCCACATACGGCATCTTGCACAGGTTAGATTACAAGAGCTATTTTTGATTGAGTAATTCATGGAAATAAAAGACAGACTTTCCTGTTTAGTACTCTTGGCAGGAAACATGGTTTTCCTCACGTTTCCCCAGTTAGTGGTGGTGACGCTGCCACTGTGGTGGCTTACCGCTGCATGGTACGTGAGGGGAAGCATGGTCCACATTTGCCTCATTATGAGTTGTTGAGGGCAGTGACATGTACTGAACAGCATTCAGTCTGTGTTGCCTGACTATTTTCATTGCAGTGAGTCAACAGCCTGTGAGCAGACAACAGCAGAGGCAGGATAACAGCTGAGGCTTAGCTCTGTGTGTGTTTGTTCACCATACAGTACTATGTGTTATTGCACTCACTGTGCTCTCAGCAGATATTTTGTAATGACCTCTTATCCACTGCACATCAAACTGACTGTAGTTTTCCTCTTCTCCACTCTGGTTAGATCTTTAGTTTTTACATAGACTAGGTTCATTCATTTGTTTGTAATGGTGTGAATATTATGGGAGAGTCACAGGATGAAGAGGCTTGTTTTCACCTCGACAGGGCACACACCCACACTGACAAATGGGAAGTTGCTCAATTGATTGCCTTTGGCAGTAAACAGTAACGTCTCCCCAGCGGGTTCAGAGTTTATTCATCAGGTCTTGGCAATTGTGAATCTTAGTGCAGAAATGCATATAGCACAGGATGAGATATTTAACATGAATGCATCCTGCAGCTCTGTGCACCATATTACATTAACAGATTTAATTTCTTTGGTTCACTACAACTTCATGTCTAAATTCCTCCAGGAAAGGCAAATTTAAAAAACAAAACAATGACATAAAAAAGGCACAAGTCAGTGCAAGTTTTCAAATACTCTATTTGTTCCCTATGCTTCTTTGTGTATGCCTATGCCTGGTCTTCTGTCCGCTGTCTGAGAACGCCGAGCAGCCCTGGAGAACAGATGACCCATTTACTGACTCACATATCGCTTCAGCCTTTCCAGCAAGAGATTTTTCCTTTGGCCAAAATCCTAGCTGAGCTGTGTTGAGGCATGATGCCACACCCACAAAATAGCACCTGTAACCGACACAGTAACACCTCACGCTGTAACACAGTGGAATGCAGGGTGCATGTGTTATTTAGATAAGAATCAAAGAGATTAAAGGAGTTAATTCCACCTTTGTGTTCTTTAATGAACTTTGAGTTTTATTCACAAGGATTATCACATCAAAGTTGGAGCTAAATGTGTGGAAATTGTCATCATTGTCTGTAATAGAGGCACCTGATTAACACTAGTGTAATGTTTGTAGTGTTTAATGAACCTCTCCGTCTACATAGACAGGTCCTGCCAGTTGCAGAGTGGAACGGAGAGAAGTAAAGTGTCACAGCAAACCTTGTACACAAACCAAACTCTTGCTCACTCGTGCACAGAAATAGTTGGAACAGACAACAACCCTCAAAGTCTTTTGTCTTAGTTTCCAGTGAGATCTTCAGATCCAGTCCTGGATCGCCTGGTGTGTGCGCATTCCTCTTTCTTTTTTTTTGTGTGTACATGTGTGTGAATGAACACGGAATGAGGTCGTGGCTATTTTAAGTATTAAGATCATCTCACGACATGACAGAGCTGCATGTTTCCGTTTGGCAGCAGAGTGTGTGATGACAACAGGTTTTATTTGCCATCTTTCTTGATAGATGATATTAAACATTAAAATATCTGACCTCTCATTTTGTCTTTTTATTGTCAGTGACCATACCTCTCTTTCCTAGCAGGCCTGCTATGTATGGAAGTATATGTAACATCATTAATGTTGATATTCATCCCTATATTTCTTTGTATTTTGTTTCTTTGTTCTCATTTTCCCAACTCGCTCTTTTTGTCTAGTTTATCATGGCAGGTGATATGATGTCACTGATGCGAGGCTTGGCTAAGCTGAGTCGGGCAGTTGTGGAGACCCAGACCAGTGCCCTGCGCAGTGGAACTGGTAAGTTGAGTAGACCTATTGGCTTCTCACATTTGAAGAATTTTTTCAGAATCCTTAACTTCCTCTTTAGCATTCACATTGTTGTGAATGAAAACCTTTAGCTAACTTGCTCATTAGCTGATATGATGGTGATAGGCTACTTTGTGCTTTAGATATTGGTTGAATGTCTCTAAAATTAGGTTCATATTAACTCAAGAAAAATGTAAAAGCACGGCAATGCAAGGTCACTAATGTTACCAAAACAAACATGTTGGCTCTAAATACCAATGCATCTACAAGGATCTACATCTGAATCAAATTTGAGCCCCCTGGTTGCTTTTACCACTCTCCATCTCAAAAAGCCAAATGGATGTTAACCCTGGTTCTTTCTTTGTCCTTCTCTGTGAAAAAGAACTCACACTCTTCAGTGTGACAGCCACGGTTCTGGACTCTTAGCTTTTTGAGAGCTTCTCCATCTCTGGCTGTTTGAAATGACTACTCATGGTTCAAAAAAATGCTTCTTTGACCTGCTTTAGGTAGTAGGCATGAGTTAATGTCCAGACCGACGATCGGCACAGAGCATAGAGAGCAGGAATTACAACAGAAAGGCTGTAGTCAGGAGAGGGTCATGGAGGTGGGTAATATAACTGAGAGACACCACATCCTGTCCCAGTTATTACAGGAAAATCTTAATTAAGTTACCTTCAAACAACTTTTGATTTTTTTTTTTTTACTGCTGTGTATTTATGGGATTTCCTGTACTGTATGGTTAAAATGCCAGCCCACTTGATTCCTAATAAAGACAATGGTTTTTGGTATTTGTAACCCAGGAGTCCCAGGAGTTGGTGCTGCTGTCCAAAGTGTCCAGTCAGCTGCAGAGCAAGGCCTTTCTGCTGCCATGACGAAGATACAGGTGTGTGACTGTATATGCCTGTGTGTGAATTGCATGAATTGGTAATGGAAAAAAAACTATATATTGCATATTCAGTTAAGAGAATGGTGCATGACTGTAAAGTAAATTGGTATCTGTTACAGGAGCTGTCTGGCCAGCCAAACACCTCTACTTCAGAGTCAGAGTTTTCTCAGGATGACAGTGCGTTCACATCTTCAGAGTTCAGGGAAGAAGGTGCAGACTTTACGGCAGATCACTCAGGAAGCAGTGCTGATGCAGCGGCGGGGGCAAGCCATGTCAATGGGAAACAGTCTTTATTTGAGGGCTACAAAGACAAACAGTTTGGTGGAAACAACAGGTCTTACCACGGGTATGCCAGGTATAAACAGTCTCTTATTCAGCTGCAGTCTGGAGTATACAGTTTTTGATGGTTTTTGGAGGATAAAACCTCTGTTTGTGTGGCAGACATTTAGTTGGACAACACCATCTGTACAACCGCAGTCTAAAGAGGCATGTGTGGGGACAGCGATCAGTCAGCCAGCTCAGAGGCTACCATCAGGACCCATCCTCAGTTGGGGGGCTGACGGCTGAAGACATTGAGAAAGCAAGACAAAGCAAGAGTGCTGAAATCAAACCACACAAACAGATGGTAGTTCCTGTTCCTTAGTTCCTATTCCTAAACACACACACTCTCATATAGACACTGATTTAAGCACATAGTGCATTTTAATAAAATGTATCTTTACTGTTTTGCCTTCTTTAGTTAAGTGAGAGAGCCAGAGAGAGGAAAGTGCCAGTGACTCGGATTGGTAGACTGGCCAACTTTGGAGGTACAGTAACACATCTCTTTGTTTTTGTGTCTGAATCTTATATACTATGATAGTATGAAAGAATGAAATGAAGAATGAAGAATGAATGAATGAAGAATGAAAGAAAAATGGCACAGTTAAAGCCAAAAATACCAGTTAGACACATTTTTTAAATACATTGCATTTTGTGATGGTTTTTGGTTTGATTTACATTACATTGTCAACCAGTACTGAAAATACTGAATGTTGTATTGACATATTAGCAGATAAAGGCAGGTACGTGGCTCCAGTTCATATCTAGACAGGATATTTCTGCAGCAAGAAGAGTGCTGCAGTCTTATCTCGAAGTAAACCCAGTGTCAGAAAACCTGCTGATACAATCATATGCAGCAGAATTTAGCTGTGGCTCATTTCTAGGCTCCAGTGAGATGCAGCAGGCCGAGCTGAGTCAGGTCAACATGTTGACGGTGATATTATATACTGTAGGTGTTTTGACGGGGTTGGGGGTGGCTTGGACCATGCTCTGTCCTTCACTGTCCTGCATTATTTATTGACAAAGTTAAACAAAAGGAGCAGGAATAATGTTCCAGAGCTTGTAATGGGAGCACAGCAGACACTCTGTAAACACATGGCTGCCCCGTGAAGCAAATGATGGACAGGCACTTGTGCTTGGCCTGGAAAACTATCAGCCACTCAGCGGTGCTGCAGGACGTGCTGATCTCAGTTTGACTGGCAGTTGAACACACACTTAGATCATACACATACACATATATATACAATGACATGATGCTGGCTCATCTGCTGTGTAAGTGCATTTGTGTATATCACTTAGCAGTTCTGTGCATTTTAAATCTGCACTAAAGCAACAGAACAAACAGCATTCCTTTTCATCTCTCCATCTTTGCCTAGCTGTCCTCAGCAAGAGAGCTCATGGTATGTTTTCAACAAATGAAGAAATGCTCAGGCAACTTGTATACAAGACGGTGAAGCACATTGTGCCTTGATTTGTCTGTCTACCGTTGCATCTCAGAAATGCCGCATCAGAGGCCGCTAGCTGATTATGTAATCAGCAGTTACATAACATGGGGGTGAGGCTTGGCAGAACTCGCTCACAAACAGTTCCAGCTTGAGCAACCTAGCTTTTTCTTTTCATTGTCTGCCAAACTGACCTAATTTTACTTTTTAGAGAAGTATTTGAGCAGTTAAATTTGCTACAGTTAGATGAAGTGTTTGTCACATTTTATTCTGCAAATGTTAATATGATGGGAATGTCATTCTTCAGAGGCCAGTTTATTTACTCTCACACAGAATCCTCACAGGTGAAATTCTGCTGCCCGTTGGTACATTGGTACACTGACTGGCTCACTAAAAGGATGGTTTTACAGCCACTGAATGGCTGTGATTTCAGATCTCTCTGTTGATGTGTGTTTGTCTGTATAATGAACAACTTTTAGTTTGTGTAATGTTATGTTCACTTACATCCATCTGAGGGTTGGGGGGGCTTGAACCCAGATCCTTCTTGCTGTGAGGCGACAGGGCTAATCACTGCGCCACTATGCAGCCTTGTTCAGTTATATAGAAAACATATTGGTGCTTGTGTGTAGAATAAACCATCCGCTGCTGTAATGTTTTTATTGTGCTGGTGTGTTTCCACCAGGTCTTGCAGTTGGTCTGGGTATTGGAGCCTTGGCAGAAGTTGCTAAGAAGACCATCAGACACAATGGTGCAGCAGGTAATGTACAAACACAGACACTGACTCACAGTTAAGAAATATATGCAAACAGCAACATTGGCTTTTGTATTATTATTATTATTATTATTAAGGGATAGTCAAGTATTGATTTGGAATACTCCTGTCTAATAGCAGGTATGTCATTAGAGTCTAAGATAGTGAATCATTCACATGGCCGGTTTCATAGTACGGTTGTTGGAGAATACATTGAAATATGGATTTATGTATAAATGGGGTAAACATATTTATGTTTTGATAAAGTAATTATTAAGGCCTTGTCTGGGGATTTGGTGCTTGTAAAAACAGGCCTTGTATGTCTGTTTCTGTTTTTTTTTTTTGTAGAATACCGCTACTGTAAAAAGTTATTTGTGTTTAGTACCCATTCTTTATGCATGCTAGTATGATATATAAAACATAGGCAATTATGTCACCTCCCTCACCAACTAAATGGTCAGGCGTCTGCTGCACTGTGAGCCAGCTAATCCTAAAACAGAGCTCACAGGTGTAAATCTGTGGCATTTATGTCTGTGTTTGTTGTTTGTGTGGGGGTAAATCACCATTAAAGCCTATGAAGGCAGCTTCAGACACACCACAACACACTTCCTGGTGACCTACTGGCACATTACACCACACACACCTACAAGGTTATGTACACAAACACGTATTGTACAGTATGTATGTGTGGACCTAAACCTGACTGTTACCTGTACATAAAAGAAAAATGCTAAAAGATTCATTATCACCTGTAAGAAAAGACGTATTGGTTTCAGAGGCATGACTGTATCTCTTGTTTGTGTTCTGACTGAAGTCCTCTTTGTTGTGTTCTGCTGCAGGTGAAAACAAGAAGGCAGTTCTAGACTCCAGCCCCTTCCTATCTGAGGCCAATGCCGAGCGCATTGTCAGAACCCTCTGCAAAGTTAGAGGAGCTGCATTAAAACTGGGACAGATGCTGAGCATTCAGGGTGAGCAACAAACACATAGAGTCACAAGGAGAAGAAAAACTAGATTGGTGAGATGAGATCGAGATGACAGAGAGACAAGAGGCAGCGTGGAAAAATGAATTGTCTTGATCAATGACTGCCAGTGCACTGCAGGAGCTGACAACTGGGAACAATCTAGTTTTTGTTGAGCTGTTGATTATTATTTTCCACTATGCTCTGTCAGAGATGAAACTTTAACACTGCTGTGTAACTACACAGACACAAACATACAGCTGTCAGAAGCTAGGAGTACAGTGTAATGTTAATCCTCATTTGTGCATGCTTCTGGTTTTACAGCAGACAGAGCTAGAGACTGGAAGGCCAGCGGCAGTAAACACCCTGGTACAGAGTCAGGGAGCTGAATCAGGTGACACCAGTAAACGCACCATTACTTTGGTTCCCCTCCCATCTGACTTTGACTGGTGACCTTTGTTGTTTGTGTAATTCTGAATACGTTAGTGCAAGCTTTACACAGGCCGTACAGTGTAGTGAATGTAATGAACAGCACCCACAGTAGGAGAGAAAAGGACATTAGCTGGACATTGTTTGCTAATCGGGTTTCAGCACTGAGGACTGACCTTGTGTGCATGTATGTGGTTATTTGCAGAGCTGCCAGAGCTTTACTCCAGTTGCAAAGTGGTGACAAGTTGTTTCTTAAATTGTGGACAAAAGGTCACAGTAATCCGTATGTGTGAATGCATCAGGATAGTCGCACATGCTGTGCATGCTGTGTACAGGCACATTTACTTGTGTAGCAGTGTCACAGCCTTTTGGACATGTTCCAAATTCAGGATTGTAGGTAAATCTGCTGGCGTGTGCCTCCAAACCTGCATTTCTGTCCACTTTAGACAAACCCAAGTGTGTTTCTGTGTTTCAGACGATGCCTTCATCAACCCTCAGCTTGCCAAGATCTTTGAGCGTGTAAGACAAAGTGCTGACTTCATGCCAATTAAACAAATGACAGTAAGTGACTTTTTCTTTTTTATATTACATGGCTATTGCACTTTTTTTTTTTTTTTTACTGATGATGTAATGAGAATAACGATGTCAGTTCTAGGTCTACATTATCAAACCCACTTTTAACTCAACTAGTGAAGAATAAAAGTGGAAACTGTATAGTTTTCACTAAACATGGACAGGCTGCAAAAACATCCGCTGTTTGTGTCTGTCTGTAGAAAGCGCTGACTAGTGACTTGGGTCCCAACTGGAGAGAAAAGCTGGAATCGTTTGAGGAGCGTCCATTTGCGGCAGCATCCATCGGGCAAGTTCACCTGGCAAAGATGAAGGATGGCAGGGAGGTGGCCATGAAAATACAGGTAGACTCTAAACATGAATGTGCACACAGTACATTTTCCATGTTGTTAAGAGAAACACTGTCACTGGAAACTTGTATTTATTTGTTGTCTCTGTTAATTTTTTGTCTTTCTAGTTGCTAAAAATCAATGATTTTAGAATTTATGGAGAATAGGCCTGCATTAATGAAATATTATTATGAATATATTATTTACTGCCATAGCCTTAACCATGGAATTACTCATCAACAAGACACACAGGCATTCCAGTACTTTAAAATGAGATTATTATTACAAACACTATAGAACTGTTGATTACATCGAACCTGGTGTTTGCTGTTTCCACAGTTTGTTGTTTTGAGATAAAATTCAATTGTTTCCTCGTCATTCCTCTGTGTCTCTGTGTGTTTGTCCTCAGTACCCTGGCGTTGCTCAGAGTATCAACAGCGACGTCAACAACCTGATGGCGGTGCTGAATATGAGCAATGTCCTGCCTGAAGGTACATGCTCAAAGAAACTTAGGGGGATATTTTCACTAAAGCTCTGTAACTCATATTTTGCCGCTAAGCTGAGAAATTGCACGTTTATATTTACTAAGGAATCGCAGTCACCGGAGAAAAAGAAGAAAAGTGACACTGCAGGAATTTGCATGTTGGCTTTTATTCAGTAGGCCTGTGTATTTTAAGGCGCTCCCATTCAGGGATGCAAAAGAATGGAGGAGAGAATGAAAATTTATACAAATACTTTCAGCACCTGGTTTACCACCGCTGTGACAGAAGGAACTGTGGCTGAAATTTCCCGTTAGGAGAAAGCAGGTGTGAAATTTGCAGCCCTGTTGTCATTGTGGCAGCTGTTAGTCATCTGAGACCTCATTGGAGTTAACAACATGTTTGAAGAGGGAGAGGGTGATTGTAAACCTCATTGCTCACCAGAGACTGTGAGGGACTTTTACAGGCTTTCAGGTCAAACCATGCTTCAGTTTATGAATGAAATGATATAAAAGATGATTTGACTGCAGTTTCGAAATATGTTTGTTGATTTCTTCAACAATATTAAAGTTCGGTCACTGTAAACTTTCTTCTGCACTCCCTCTCAGTCCACATGTGTGCAACAGTCTTCAGACACCAGGTTCTTATAAGTGGCTTGTATTCAAATTAACGCTGCTGCACTTGTAATCTTATTTACATTTTACTCTATAGCTTTGTTTCCTTGTATGTGCCTCTGTCTCCTCCACCTTTTTTCTTTGAGTCACAGTCTTAAGGAGTTGTATCGTCCTCTCGTAGCTTGTCTCACCCTTTTGTTTATGTCGTTTTGTCTAACTAGGTCTGTTTCCAGAGCATCTGATGGATGTGATGAGAAAAGAGCTGGCACTGGAGTGTGACTACATTCGAGAAGCCCAGTGTGCAAAGAAATTCAGGTATTGAGTAGCAAATGTTTGAGTGTATACCTGTCTCTTCTAAAATTCAGTGTTCACAGACCCTTTCTTGCCTGTTTACAAGAGCTATTTGTAATCCACATACTTGTTACTCTCCCATTCCCAAAGATGTCATATCTACAGCTCTAATTAGCCTGCTCTATTCCCCTCATTTTCAGCTCTTTGTTTTGAGGTCAGAACATCTGCAACTGCCAGCCAACTGCACATACACACGTATATCTATATACGTCCATAACCTGTATTTCTGTATCTATGTACCTATTCATGTTGGACACAGGGAGCTACTGAAGGATGACCCGTTCTTCTATGTGCCAGAGGTGATAGAGGAGCTGAGTAGCAGTCACGTCCTGACCACAGAGCTGGTACCTGGTTTTCCCCTGGACCAGGCTGAGAGCCTCACACAGGAGCTGAAGAACAAGGTACAGCTGACAAACCAGGCAGCTGGAGGAGGCGATAGATATTTAGCTGGCTGATGGGGCAGAACCTTCAGAGAGGCGTGGGTGTTTTTCTAATCAATAAATATTCACAAGAATATTTGAATGCACACATGCCTTTAAACACATTGAGAGCTTCTGCACCACAGTAAAATTCCTTGTTTGTTCATACATGGCCATTAAAGATGATTCTATTTCTGATTCTGAATATTGGATTGGCCTCTACTGGCAGGAAATGGAACTGCTTCTGCTTCCACCTGTTTCTCTTCTACCCAGCCCCTTCATTTCCTCCCTGCTTTCCTCGGCCCTTTACATTCCTCAGTTGACCTCAGTTGACCCTAACTGGCAGGCTACAGCCCAGCATCAAGACAGAAAAAGGAATATAATTTGTAACTGCCAGTGAACAACAGTAGAATCTCTGTATCTTTGTTTTTGTCTCAGATCTGTCAAAACATCTTGATGTTGTGCCTCAGAGAGCTGTTTGAGTTCAGATACATGCAGACTGACCCAAACTGGTCCAACTTTCTCTATGATCCTCAGACAGATAGGGTGAGTCTGTCTACAGTCTAAGTGGTACTGTTACTAGAGTCACTGAGATGTGAGACTAATGAACGTAGGTAATCACTGGATTGTGTCTCTCTAGGTGGCGCTGTTGGACTTTGGAGCCACAAGAGGGTTTGACCAGAGTTTCACAGATGTCTACATAGAGGTAAGACCAGTCATCCTCATTTTAACTTTTCCTTGTAATATACTTGTGGGGGATTGAATGCTTTTCTGTGGCTTTTCTGTATGGCATAAGTTACTAACTGTAGAGGAGTTACATGACAAATGGCCTTATTTTGAAGTATACTGTCACGTACAGACGGGTGACAGCTTAGAGGAAAAGCCTGAATCAGTGACTGGTCTCGCCCAGGATGACAGTGCCCCCATCCACAGGGCACAAAGGATTCACTGAATGGTTTGATGAGTATGATGTGAATCATATGCTGTGGCTTTCACAGTCACCTGATCTCAACCCCCGTGAACACCTACGACAGATTTTGGAGCAGCGTGTTAGACAGCATCATCAAAACACCAGATGAAGGAATATCTTTTGGAAGAATGGTCTTCACCCCCTCCAGTAGAGTTCAGAGACTTGGAGATTCCATGCCCTGAAGCTGTTCTGGTGGCGTGCGCTGGCCTGACCCCTTTTGTTGGGCGTTTCTTTAATTTGTTGCCCGGCTGTTCATGATCAACTTAAAGATTCACTTACTGTATATATATTTCACTGTTGCCACACTCTTCACACCCCTACTGCTTTTGTTTGTTTTGATTTATTGCAAAAGAGATATGGTGTAATATCAAGAGGATACCAAACTCACATATGCACTGTAGTTTGTTCGCAGTGAATCATCAGTTGTGGAAAAACCTACTTTTCACAAACCAGAATTTGTAGAAAATCCTCATTTATGCAATGCAAACAAACTGTGAACTAAAATGTCTGTAGATATGGAGAAAAAGAGAGCGAGAGTAAGTGAACATTCATGCCCTGTTTGTCACCGTAGATAATCCGTTCAGCTGCCGAGGGTGACAGAGAGGGAGTTCTGAAGAAGTCGATCGAGATGAAGTTCCTCACTGGCTACGAATCCAAGGTAGTTACCTGTTTACCTGTCTTTCTGCGTGCTTTCCATCAGAAACCATGGGTGTGAATTTTTGCCCTTTGTATACCCTCCCAGCCATTTCCTAAGCAAAACAATTGCTGAAAATATAAAAACAGTTTTAGGAGACTGTTGTTAAAAAGGCATTTTTATTTGCTGTGGCTTTGTCCTATTTGTTTAAATATTTCATACTTATGAGAAAGTGAAGGAGTTTACCATAACCTGGAGAAATGGCACTTAGAGGTTTCTAATCAATATCGAAGGTTGTAGTAAATGGAGCAAACTCGGCTGAGAGAAGATGCTCTCAAAGCTGTTTGATCGATGGATACGTTCCCTCAACAAAGCTCTGCATTCTACATCATGTATCAAGTTTTTAACATGTTTGCTTTGCTGTACAACCATGACGAAATTTCTGTTCAGGGGCAAATATCCCTGTATTGTTCAGAGAAGTGACACCAGTATAAAGAATCATAAGCTCCAACTCGGTATGTTTTTCACTCTGCCTCCAGGCAATGGTGAACGCCCATGTGGATGCGGTGATGATCCTCGGTGAGGCATTTGCCTCCACCGTGCCCTTTGACTTTGGCTGCCAGTCCACCACCAAGAGAATCCACAACCTCATCCCCGTGATGCTGAAACATAGGCTCGCCCCGCCTCCCGAGGAGACATACTCACTGCACCGCAAGATGGGCGGCTCCTTCCTCATCTGCTCCCGGCTGAACGCAAACCTGCAGTGTAAGGATATTTTTCAAAAGGCATATCAGGGGTACTGGGAGGGTCGCACACCACCCTCTCACTCAACCTAGGCCACTCTCAAGTGTCAGGTGTTGATGAAGAGATCTTGGGGCCAATAGCAAAGTTGCTGTCGACGATGATGATTCAGAACTACATGGTCATGTTACCCACCCTTAACTCCTTACTGAGAACCAGCTTGTCCCTCTCATTCACCACAGAGAGGGTTTGTAAGGCACTTACACATATTTACAGTCACCATTTCTTTGTTTGAAAGGGAGCAGCAACAGGGCTTCTGGAGGTCTTTATGGCCAAATAGTACCTATATATGGCCCTGAGAGGACAGACTGAACAGAGGTGGGAAGAGGAGAGGTGTAAAATGAATGTAAAAAGATTGGAACGCTTATGTTTTCAAGATGATTCATGCGCCGTTTTGTTTTGTATTGCTGTGTTATATTTTTGTAAAATCAACTGTCCAGTTTGCTGTCTGCCACGTACCGAACACGAAAAGGACTGTGCATTTATCATAAACCCACACATGAAATAATGAGGTTAAATGCAGTTTATGGGCAGTATGAGTCACAGTGTTGGCCAGGACCAACTTGTCTAGGTCACAAATATTTCTGCTTCGATTATTTTTCAACAATGTTTGATTAGGTTGTCGGACAAAGTTTAGGCTCGGTCTAAATTTAGACAGCGAAGTAAATACAGGAGTTTTGATAAGAATAAAATAGTTTAAACACTGATTCAGTGTTCAAGTTAAGATGATTTAATGAACTAATAGGATTTGATTGTTTTTTCTAGAATATGTAACAAATTGGAATTTGCCAGTATTTACACACATGCTCATGTATAGGATATTTAGTATACAGTATCTTCTGAATCAGTGTAGCTGTCCAGATTCACTGAACTGAATGATGCTGTTGTGGCTGATTCAGACTGTCCGTCTGTTTCCGGTGATATCCAGGATGAACCTTTAGTTTGATTCTCAGGCCGAAAATCTGCAGAACTCCTGCTGGAGAGGTTCCTCCTTATTGTGGTGTCAGGAGTTCATTGATGTTTTATTCTAATGAATTGTAGCTGATGACAACAATGTGAGCACTGTGGCTCAGAACTTTATTTCTGTCAGAAATAACTGATTCATTACCAAAGCTTGATTCTTTTCTGTTCATCTGTAAAAAAAAAAAAAAAAAAAATCTCTGCAGAACATGATGTCTGAAATAAGACTGCGTGCAGCTCATATAAACATTGGGCTTGTGCGCAGTCATGAACGTTTATGAACTGCCGGGATGGAAGAGGCTGATAACGCACAAGCTCAGCTCGTGGGCTCACTTTGCTTCCACTAGCCAGTTAATCTCTCCGCACCTTCTCAGGTGTGAAATCCTCTGTCACCTGCCTGGTGTGTGGCTCTAAAAGTTCTCTCTACTCCGCTGTGTGAATACAGTTATAATGGTCTCTGGTGTGAAGCCGAAAAAAATGGAGAGCGAAAAAAAATTTAAAAAAAAAAGCCAAGGTGCCTGGAGTTTTCAGTGGAAGGTTTTTAGTGAGAAATCTAAACTTTTTTCATATCAATACCATGAAAAGATGGTTTAAATTTTCTAATCGAAATCATTTCTTAACTGAAAGTTGTGATCAAATTAAAAGAGTAAATGTTTGCTCTACTTTTGTCAAGTGACTGTGTGGTTTTGTGTGCATTCTTAATACCCTCCGTCCATTTCAGAGGACAGTATTGCTTCAGAGGAAGATAAAATCGTGTCTCTGTGCTGGTTCACAAATCTCAGGGTACATACAGTATATATAACCTAAATTTTGTTGATATATCCTGGTCTGTAGGTTAAGAGGTTGTAATGTGTGTTTAAAAAGAACAAGTTGAAAATGCAGTACAGAAAGAGAGACGCATAAAGCTTGCCTTCCTTATTTAGTAATGTCTTGGCCAGTGGTGGAGGAACTGGCAGAGAGCCTGGGAAACGAGCTCCAACACAGACACATACTCAAAAAATACACACCGTGATATCTGGGCAAGTGAATCACGGCAGTATTCACATACACTTTAAATCCAGTGGGTAACGGTGGTTGCATGTAGATAAACACATATACACACTGCTCTTATGATTCTCGCTCTCTCTCTACTTCTGCTTGGGAAATTGTGAGGAAATCACCCTAACAAAATCTTGTACACACATTTCCCTCCCCCACTAGGTGCTGGCTTTGAATATTAAACCCACAACCTGTTGTAATTCACCTCAGTGAACAGCACATGGCGCTGTTGTGTTTGAATAGCGCTCTATCTTATCCCAATAAAAGCAAAACATAACCAGCTTGAAACCAGTAAGATAATTTTATTTCTGCTTAGAGGTGGGAGAAATTAGAGTGAGATGATTTACTAAGCGGCAGTGGTTCTTAGGTGCAAGTAGACTTGTATAAAATATTGATTGTATTGTATAATAGTGTGTGTCTGAGCCTAATGAGTCACATGTATACCTGAAACACTTCAGGGCTAAACCATATGTATGAGACTGAATAAGCTAATTAAAGAAAATACCCACATTTTATGGCTGACAATTTAGAGCACTTATAACTTATATTGGAATCTGCAAGGATTTAATATTCTGGCTGCATACGCTTCCCAAGAGCTCAGTGCAATTTCGGTAATTCCAGTCAGATGTCATGTGAGCTCAGAATGTCTTAACCCACGAGGTCGAGACCTAAGGTAGTTAAAAGGCCAATTTCCTGTAAATACTAGTGATCAGAATACTGTTTGGGTTTCATGAGACTGGGATGTTAAGCAATTGGCTGAACTGAATTCAGTTTGTGCCCAGAGGTGAAACAGGTTGTGTTACATCTCAGTGACCTGAATGTGTTTGGATGTTGCATCTTGCTGCGCTGAGATGGAAATAACTCAGCTGTAGTTGTGTTTACATTACGGTAAGGATGGTGGGAGTGTTAGGGGGTTGTTGTGCGGTCAGAAAGCACCAGCAGTGAGAAATCCTTATTTGGTGAAAGAGGACAGTCAGCAAGTCTGGGCACAGCTCTTAAAGACAAACACTCACACAGCACTAACTTTACCAGTTTTCCACTGTGTGATTTTTTTTTTTTTTTTAAGTCCTCATCACCAGCATCCCTCAGCCTTCTCAGCCTTTAGCTCAATTATACAAACTCACTTTTTAACTGTAAGAAACACAAACTACAGCAGTGACACTCAGCAGTGTTGTGTCCTTGTCGAGATGTGTCAGTTTTACTTGAGAGACTAATCACCTTTATTTGGCCAAGTATGTTACACACAAGGAATTTGTTTCCGGTACAGAACCGATGGCAGCCATCTGCGGCGCCAACTCAACTGATGGCTCTAACCATCGGGGGTGGACGGGGTTCAGTGTCTTGCTCAAGTCACCAAGTGCAAATTTTCTTCTTTCTGCTTCATTGCCTTTATATTCACACATTGTCCCCGGAATCATTTAGGCCAATATTTGTAAACTGGAAATGATCCAGTGGTGTTCGTACCGGAATCATTTAGGCCAATATGTGTAAACTGGAAATGATCCAGTGGTGTTGAGCAAATATCGTAGCATTACAGTGTTTCTTTTGTCTGATGAGCCGGTTCATGGAAAATTGTTTTAAAGGCACAGTTTCATGAGAAGCCATGTCTCAGCAAATTTTATTAAAAGTTTATAAATTCCTCGTTACCTCATGACCAGCCATTTTACAGGTTTGAATGGAAGTACGTTTGCTTTCTGTTGAGTAAGCTGTTGATGTAGCCAGAGGACCAACCGTTGGACATTACTGCACCTAGAGCCGGGCTACTGTAGCATGGCTACGGCAGTGTTCAGGCAGATACATGTTTAGAGCACGAAAATGTTCAGTGTCATAGATACCACAGCACTGGCAGTTTTCATGTCATGGTTTGTAACAAGCTCAGTAGCTGTAAACAGAAAGGCATGTTTATTCATGAGCCATGTGAATTCACACCTAATTTATTTCCATGCAAATTTGCACATATTGTACCTACAAGGCTAAGTGCTACTTCATGATTGCTGAGTATTTTGTCATGAGCCTGCAGAATCTCAGCATAAACAATCTGCTCGTCTGTTAGTCTCAGAGGATGAATTGTCTGCTGCAACAGAGGAAACAGGAAACACTGGCCCCTCCTGCAACGCTGAATTCTGAGGAGTCCTTGAAAACACATCAGCACCAGAATATACACTATTCTTTATGTAAAGTTTGCACCTACTGATTACAGTTAATACTGATTTACATTATATGACAAATGTGCACCATTTCATAACAAGTATTCAGTAAATAGAACCAGTATGTTTTAATTGCGAGAGTTTGTATCAGACACCTCAAATGGCTTAAAATAAAACAATATATTGCAATGTAACATTATTAAGCTACAATTTGAAATGTGCGTGTATGTGTAATACAATCATTTGAAACTGAAGTTATGCATGCAAAATCGGTATATGGCAGTATGTTCACTGTACAATTGAAATGTTAGCACAACACCATCATCATTAAAAAAACATTACAATGAATCAGTATTTCCCCTGAACACTTACTGTAAGGGAGAACAGAACAGAAGGTCTGATTACAATACAGTGTCCAAGTAAAATTGAAAAAATAAACAGTAACAAACTGCATGCAAACTCAAACAAAATAAGTTAACTCAAGCATGACTGCTACATAAAACACTTGTGGGAGAACACCGTCATTTGTAAGGCATAAAATACCATTACAGAGATCTTCATCTTTCTCTCACACACAAACACTGCAACATATACACAGTTAAAACGTAAAAAAAACACTCATATTGTCTTCCGAAATACAGCAGAACTCTCAAAAAGGCATTTGGATGAGACATCAGTAGAAAAAAAAATGACAGCACATTTCTGTAGAGGCACCAATGACATTAAGATGTTGCCATGCATAAACGTATCTAAACCTTCCTGCAGAAATGCTGCCTGACATTTGCAGAGTCTGCTCCACATCATAAGACTGGTATAATGTGCATTTTTGTTTCTGAGGAGCATTCTGTCAAATGCCTCAGTGCCCTGCTCAACACTGGTGTTATAGCTCATGCTCGTTGGTTTAATTCATTTTGCTGAAGACTGTTTGACTTTTGATACACTTGGATATTTATCTGGGAAATAAGCCAGTGATACAGTTCTCGAGAAGCCTAATGTGGTATCATGGGAATGCCCCGGCCGGATCAGCAGTTCCAGGTCAGTTGTGTTAAATAGTACACATACTTTCTGAGTTTAGTACACAAATTGTCTGGTCAGCTGGACTCAGCTCCAGCCCTCTGAAGGATAAGCAATACAGCTAATGGATGGATGGGTAAGTGTCCACATTTATTTATGACATACAGATCATTATATATTTTCCTGTCTCCATATTGCACACAATCAATCATATACACAAGCACCCACACATGAATATATACATAATGTACACATTTTGGCTTTGTACTTGACGTAAATTGTGAATTTGACAACCTTTTTCTTTTGACAACCATATGGGAGTTGCTGACTCACAGCAGCGCTCATCTGAAAATGCAAAAGAGCCAAAACCAGCTGTTCAAACAAAGGACCTCTCTCACAAGCCTCAGCGACATTACTTTAAGCCAGTCATATGTTCAGCTCTGTCAGTAATGTTTTATTGATGTGTAATATCATTTTGACACTGATTTACATATTCAAAAGATATGAAAATTGACATCAGACCATAATCAGGCAGGATGAATCATTTTCAACAGAACTCTGTAGATTTGGGTTAACACGTATCATGTGACAGTGAGATACAGTGAGGCATGTTAAAGACGTGTTTGCTGTTAAAGCACTGCAAGAAAGCTATTGTATCTACAAGGTTGCAAATACCTTCATCATATTCAGGTTTTCACTCAAACTGTCTACAGTGAATACTAAGTATCAGAGTCATTTATAATTTGATCGCATGCTCCAAGTTTCAAAGGAAGACATGTTTGTTCCACGGTCACTGCTTGAGTAATTTATGATTCTATATGCAGTGAATGTCTCAGTTAGTGACTGGTGTTGAATATGACAACATCAGGTACAGAACATTTTTATATATAAACACTGTTTTCCTAAGAAATTTGAGCAAATTGAGCATGGTTATAAGTCAGAACCCTGAACCACTAAAAGTACCTTTTCAGAGCAGCAGTAAGGTGTCGGTATCATGATGGAAAGGCCACAATAGAGGCTAATGGTAAAGTCAGGTATAAAACAGTAAACAGCAACAGTAAAACTCTTAATTAACCACTTACATCTAACACTGAAATAAACTGCTTTACACAGAGTGGCAGCTACACCAGGCAGCCAGTTCAGGGACAATGGAAACTGGTTACTCTGGAAACATCAGGCTCATTAGAGACGAGCCACAATGCATGGTTGTTAGAGTCTGTCCAACTTGATGCTTACATCCTCTCTCTGTCAACTGTAAGACCTCAGGGAATGATGGGAAAAGCTTGGCTCTCACCTGATCTAAGAGCTGAGATCAACAATGTGAAGTTTTATAGAAACGTTTCATTTGTTTACTTTAATTGCACTAGCTTGGTTTGCACTATGGTTGTTTATTTTGTGAAGAGCATACTGTAAATGTTGTGTGGCCAGTTGTGCTTTCATGAGTCAAAGAGGCTGAATATATTCAGCTTATATTACAGATAGTCCTCATAGACTGCAGACAAGCTATGATACTTCTAGTCTACAACATGAGTATTACATAATTCTTAAAAAGACATCTGGTGTTAAACCCTGACAGATCAACTGAAACAATTTTGGCTGCTATTTCTGTGTATTTAGACTATTGATTTAATTTTGAAATTTCTTGACTTGTCCCTTTATGAGAGCAGAGTGATACTAGAAAATGCATGTGAATGCTGTCTGCTGAAAGAATTGCCACAGCACTGCTGAAGATTCCTGAAATGTATTGCTGAAACAGCTGAAGGCTATGTTGCAATGCTGAATAATCCCTGAAGATGAAAAGAAAAGCTGAAGTTGGGAGCTTAACTTCATTATCTAAAGAAGCTGAGAGCTCAAAAGCATCACTAAACAGTGGAAGGTTTAATACAAAGTGAGAAGTAGAAATAAAATGCCAAAGTTCTAAAGGAATAATTTATACTGACATCTGAGAGATTAGCTTAATTGCTTAAGGCTCTGGAACATAACAATCTTTGCCAAAAAAGAATTGAGTGCTGAAACATATTGCCTGATATGAAAGGAGCCACATTTCAATAGAAGATCTTAAGATAAAAAGCCTTGAGGAGAAAAATGTTGAAATTTGAAGGAAGCAAAGAAAAGCAGTGACATGGAACATACAGAAAACTTTAAGCTTCGTTTTACCTGACATTTACTATTGAAGCGTCAATTTAAGTGTAGGCTCTTAAAGGACAGTAAGATTGGTCAAATGATAAATACTCAGCACAAAATACTGTGTATGAAGGGAGATGAAGAAATGAAGGGAGCTGGATTTCAGTGGAAAAACGTAAGACAGAATGCATTAATGAGGGGTATGTTTAACTGTGAAGGAAGCAAACAAAGTGAGATAAGTTCAAGCAGTCAAGCACACAGAGTGCAAAAGGCTTGAAAGTTCGTGGATGAGTTCAGCTTGAAGTATCGCTCAAAATATAAGGAGGAAAGCGAGTGGGAAAGAAAGAAAGGAAAGCTTAAAAATGAGATCAAAGCATAAAGAAAAGCTGAAAGTCGAGAAGGGAGAAAAGACAAGTGAACAGACTGATGGACTTCAGTAAAGAGAGAGAGAGGAGAAAAGAATTGGGCGAGCAACAAGTTGCTATGGTAACCGGGGCCTCCTGGAGGTGCAGGTGACACATACGCAACACTTTGGCTCCAGAGAAAAACAGTTAAAACGGCTGAAAACTATGCAACACAAGATGGACAATAGAAGAAAAACTTTTTGCACTGCCCCCTGCTGTCGCCAGTCAAGGAGCATTTCATCTGTTTTAAGCCCAATAACATCTCATGCATCACTGAGTTAAATACATCTGTTACACTGTTATGTACAGAATTTTGGCACAGGTTGTTTTTTGTTTTTTGTCTTGGTTCTGGTAAACATCACGCAGCAAAAATACAGAAATACAAAACAAATTAATGATTTAATGGTCTCAGCTCATCATGCTTATAAATTATACCTTGTTCTTCATTTACTCCATCATGTCATGTAGGAAATAATGTATAGAGTCAACCTACTACAGATTTATAGTTTCATAGATCAAATAAAAAATAGTGAAAACAAAATTCAAAAATCAGTTACAATTACTCAACAAAATAGAAACAAAAAGTTTATCTTATCCATTGTATTTCCTCTGAATTTACAGTTTAAGTCTCTTCTTCCCATCCTGTTTGTTGTTAATGTAAATGCGACCTGGTGTTGACCAATCGGCAGCCAGCAATCTACGATTTTTTTCACAAAGAGCAGTCACTTGATTGAGTGTATGAATCATTTCTTGGCCTCTCTCTGCTGTCAGCAGCTGCTCAGCATGAAGGTCACCATCAGGCTTCAGGGATGTTAAAGAGATCAAACTGTCCGTGTAATCCATCAGCTAACGTGAGAGCAACACCTCTCAGACATCTTGGGCAATGCCCTGGTCTCTACAGCCTGATGAAGAGGAGGGTGAGGTACAGACAGAAGGAGGTGAAAAGGAAAAGATGTTTGACTACTTGTAGAAATAGCCACTGTAATCTCTATTAACTGGAATCTGTGGCCCCCCCAAGAGAGGTTTTTAAGGAGCTACGTGCAATTACAAAACATTTATTTTGAACTTTTGAAAAGATTCACAAAGGTCACAACTAAATATAGAGGCAAAATTATTAAAACAAGATGCAAAATGATCACAAAATATAGGTGCAAAACACAGAGACACAACTCTCTTGATCTGTGGGTAATGCTCCTACTGTATGTAGGAGGGTGTGGGATCTTTTTTATGTGTGAGCCCAGGAGCCCAGTGTGTCATAATTTGTGGTTGACAATATCTATGTTGAAATTTACATTTACTGTACTATTCTGACTATTTCTATACTTCAACATCACTCTGTGAAAGCAAAAAGAAACACCTACCATCAGAGACTGGGGTTCATGAAGAGGGAGGAAAGAAGGGACAAGAAAGAGACAGTTAGTAATGAAAACAAGTCATCTTTCAACATGATCTGACCTCACTTTGATTCAGATACATTACATGATCGAATGAACACAAATACGCGACCCTGGTTTGCTGGATCGATAAGCAGAAACAAATGGAGACGGGAACAGAGAGAGACAATATGAGTAAAACACAACATCTGAAGAAGAAACTGAGGTGGATGGGAAGGTGGTGGCAGGGGGGCAGAGAGTGGGAGGAATAAAGTGAGAGAGAAAATGAGAGGGAGCAAGGATATGGCATGATCAAATATGAACAATCATTAGATAAAGAAGGAGGCACAAGCAGGGCGATCAGTGGGAGGAAGATAATATCACGATCATTAGATAGATGGAGAAAGAGCAGAGAAGGAGGGGTATTTGTAAAGATGGAGTCATGGAAAGGAAGGAATACAATGATCACATGCAACACAGGCTCATTAGAGAAGGGAAGGAGAAAACTGATAAATATGTCATATTAGTGAATGATTCATTGCTTGGAGGAAAAGAAGGAGAACAGCTGAGTAGGAGCATAACTCCCAAAGCTACAAAGACGTAATATGGTGAATAATAACTGATCTTAAAGCAAACAACATGCATGGTTTCAGCATGAGAATGTGGTCTTCGGTGTTACCAGGACAATGGCTTTCATATCCAACAGGACTATTCACAAAGCTGCTAGCTGTGAGAGCTAACAGAAGTATAGGTTTTAGCAGCAACAGATGAATAAGACGTGCCCAGAGGCCTGAAAAGCAGTGGGGAGCAGTGAACAAAAACACTCCAGGGGGCTGATCACTCCCACACACATGCACACAGTTACTGGACCTCACATAGACACAAACACACAGATTCTTGCAGGCGTACATACTAACACACATTTGGATGCACACACAGGCAGCAATTGCCTCACATCCGCGCACTCATACATGCACACAGCCTTGGTGCAAGGAGAGAATTGTGTGTGTGTGTGTGTGTGTGTGTGTGTGTGTATCAGAGCTTGTTCTTGCATCAGTGCCTGAGGAGAAGACTACTTTCTGTTAAATTTGCCCAATCCCTCCATCTCTCTTCTCTACAGCTACCCCTGCTTCTTTTTCTTATATCAGATGCATAAAAACTATACAACCCGTTCAATTAATGTGTTTAAATCATTTAAATAACATGGCTTTCTTTATTCTACATCTTTCTTACTGTCAACAAATCCAGTGAAAAGACCAAAACAAATTAGTCTTTCAGTATTTGCCAGTGGTCCCCAGCTCCTTAAATCTTTAAAAATGGGTCATAAACATAATGTTTCATTTAAAAAAAGGGCTAAATAATTTCCTAAACCGCCTGGGCACTGTGAAGGTTACTCAAAAAGGAGTACTTGTGAGACTGAGTCAAAGGAAAATTACAGTATGAATGATCATTGCAGGGGTGTAGTACTCGAGTCCAGGACTTCAGACTTGGACTTGGACTCAGATTTGAGCTTTGACTGCATTCGGACTTGGAAGTTGGAGACAAGGAGTCTGACTTTTTGCATGTGTAATAGGCCATAATAACTTAGAACTGTTCTTTGGTGATTTGGACTTGACTCACACCAAACAAATTTTTTAATAACTTGATTTTCATGCTGTAGAAAATGTTTTAATTCTTTGGACTCAACTACTAGGTGCATTCCACATGTAAAAAACATAATCAAAAGGAAACTGGACTGAAATAATAAAGACAGGTGAAGAGATCAGAAAAGAAGGCTGCCACCCACTAAGATAAAGTTACTGACTTGCCAGGATGACCATGTCCATTCCCCAGAAGATGCTCATGATCCATCCAACCATGATAACAGCGGTCAGTATCTGGATCAGGGCTGCTGCCACGTTGAGCCAGAACACACAGCACACTCCTCGCTCTGTGATCAGCTCATTGCGAGCTCCACACAGCACTGTGAACGCTGAGATGAACGTACCTGTGGGACAGAGCCAACAAAACATCCTGTTACCAAAAGCTAGACAGTGACAAAATGTTTTTAATCAGTCCTGACTTTTATATTAAACCAGTGCTTGTGGCTCCATGATGTGTTTAGGCCATCTTGATGAAACACTTTTCCATGCAGTTTCATACTCTGTTTAATTTCCAGTGAAATACACCAGACAACAGACTCCAGATTTTCCACTGCAAAAAAAACCAGAGGAGACACGTGCTTGGCTCTACTGAAGAGATGACACTGCTTGGCTCACAGCAGTGCTTCGAGCTATACATCATTTCACTAAAAAGATTAGGGTATCAGTGAAGTCAGCAGCCTTCAGAAGCCACAGATATCTGTACACTGTGGATGGAAGTCACGGACCCTGCTGTCTCATGTTACTACTTCAGTTGCCCTTATTGACCATATCTATAAATATCTTCAGACGACATTGGTTTTATTTTTATACAAATGTTAATAAATGACAAAAAAAAGCATTTTTGATAGCACTTAACCAAACACGAGCACCGAAAGCTGCACCCACAGCGATGCTCACATCCACTGTTACTGAGCTGAAACAGGATAGCCTCTGTGGACAATCTCTATGTGCCTGAATAGAATTCACTATCGCTCTGTATCCTGTTATCTGCAGACCTTGACCTTCTCAGGCCTCTTTCATTGTACAAAATATTTGTGTATGTGCATGTATTACAAATGAAGTACAAGTGTCTCAGTGCAGCTGCTCAGATTATTTCATTACAGGATGTTTTCATGAGAATGCTCCTTCACAGAGAATATGTGAGACATGAATCTTACAGTCTGTGTCTGTATCTTGGATCTACCTCATTCTAACAAAGACAAGTAGCAGTATTTGTTTCACCCTATCTGAGGGTTACGTTAGCTGAGGGACAACTATAGGATACACTGCGGCCAGAATCCTCACACTATAACGTTTCCAAATCAAAAGCCATTTATTATTTTTCTTGATATATATTGTTTGACACAGCTTGTAGGAGTATTTTTATTCGGATATCAGTAGGCTGCTCCTCAAGTTCTCATTCCCATCTCTCCTATGTAGGCTACTGTAGAAAAGCAAGGTGCCTGGCCTAAGTGGACCTGGACAGGTGGCCTAGACCCTCCCCATCACAAGATTCGGGGGGTGGGGGTTCATCCAATGGAACACAGCCAATAATTCACCAATAAAAACAAAGCATTTATTCCCCCCCCCCTTCACTTAGCTTTAGCCTAAACTGTAAGGTTGCTAACTGAGTACCTGCCAACTGCTATTTTACACTGCAGAAAATGATTATGCTGTATCATTAAGCTGCTTTTAACTACGGCTAAACAAAGCACTTTGTTTAAATTTGTTATAAAATGACGTCATAAGGACCAGGATGAAACACCTGCGCCAGGTTCCCCCCTATGATGGGCCGACTGCATCAAGCAGCAGCAGTGTTAGCATGGTGGCTAGTTGGGTTCTAGCATGCTACTGCAGCACCTGACTGAGAGAGAAGTCATGAAGATAGTGATATATTTCCTAAGTTGAACTATGTGAGGCTCTCTTCATTGTCCCCAACACTAAACTCTTTGTCCCTGCTTTCCTTCAAAAGACAACTGACCGATTCATTGGACTGAAATAATTTATGTTGGACGCCAAGCCTGCCGCCTCTTGTATCAATGGTAAGCCAGAGCTGTTTATATTTTATAGCATTGTTTATTGTTTACTAGACTTTCGTGTTATTGGGTATGTTGTTAGTACTGTAGGCTATGTGTTCATTGTGTGTATGTGGTTATTTATATAGTTACAGTATACACAGCAAAATAAGCATTATTAATTAACACCTATAGAGTTAATTTCAACACGTTCAAAGTGTCTATATTGTTTCACACTATATAGTGTTAAAACTACACTTTTGAAAGTGTTCCCATTATTAACACTGTTCCAGTCAAAGTGTAAAACCTTTACACCAAAATGGATAACAACAACACTAAGTCAAAATTCACTCAGACACTAAGGGAGAAAATGGTCAACCCTCCACTGGCTATGGAGTAGTTCTAGGTGGTGACAGTCTACACTACACTAGTGTTATTGATATCAGCAACATGGTCCATTGAGATTAACACAGTTATATTCTTGGCAAGAGAGGCTTTGTAGAGCATGTGCTGAATTTGTTGTTGAAGTTGCAGCATCAGTTATAAATTTCTCTAGGTTTGATATCAATTCACCTATAGCTTAAATTGCATGTGGTGGAGTGTAATTACATCTCCAAGGAGTTAAGCTAACACTAACTTGGTCAACTCTCAGTTAACTCCAACACTGAACAATGTTTTACTGGCTGTGTTAAAATACTCTCTGGGAGTTGAAATAAACTCTGAAATGTTTAACCATGCCCTGTGATGGATTGGCGACCTGTCGTGGGTGTACCCCGCCTTCGACCGATTGCCGGCCGGGATTGGCTCCGGCCCCCGCCCTGTGACCCTGTTCAGGGACTAAGCGGTAGAAAATGAATGAATGTTTAACCCTGAAATTTCAACACTCCAGTTTTTGCTGTATATCAAACTGTTATGCTGTTACGTTCTGTAAAAATACAGTCAAAATGTCCCCAAAACAATGTTAAAATACAGTAGATTTCTTAAGAATAAGAAGAAGGCTAAAGCAAAAACACAACACCAAGAGAATGCCAAACCATCCAGTATGTTTCCATATCTTCCAACTCATCAATATATAGTTGCCCCTAAAGAAAATATTTATGTTAAATCCAGAGACAGCACTAGAGCCAGCTTCAGAGAATAATTTGCCTTCCAATAAATACTGGTATTTGGGTCCAGTCTTTCAGTGAGATAGACAAACATATAAAACCTCCAGAAACACTGCATAAAATTTTGGACATCATACAAACAAATTCAAATTGCACATTTTCACAAATATAACAGTGGGTCTTCATCTGGAACTGATTTTTTTTTCTTTTTCTCTGCACGGTGCATGTGCCAGAAACTCTCCACTACATTTTCAGCTGGCTGCAGAATCTTTCAGACCAAGACTAGATGTTAACCCGGTGGTTTTCAAACTTTTTGTGCCCAAGGCACACCAAAGGGCTTACCAAAATCTCAAACCCATATTCCTATCTATGAAAAATAACCTTTCTACCATGTGCTATCAGTCTATAAACATTCATTTTTATTTTCTTATGACAAACAAAATGAGTGAGTGAGAGAGGAGGGGTAGATCTGGCAGGAGAGGGAGGCATAAAGACGTAATCACTCTTACAGACCAAACTAAGAAAAGAAATGCACTATTTGCATATAAACAGTAGGCCCTACGTACCTATCAACAGAGGAGGATGTTATGCACTTAGCTGGAAAAAGAAAACTAGTCTGACATTGTAAGCAAAAGAGATGCATTGAGAATAAAAACTGGTTGGCACTGAGTTGAAAAGAAAATGTTTTAAATGTAGCTTAAATTTGAAGTTTTCTACTTACAAGCTAATGAGACTGTCAGTGCTCGCAGAGTTTTAAATCCTTCTTGGAATTGAGGAGAGTGAATCTGGACGTAACACAGCACCTGCATTTTTTTTTTGCAAGTGGGGAGGATGAGTATCTCCGCTATCTTTTCAGGTTTACAATAAGCTCCGTCTCCATCGCCAATTTCACACAATCCCATGAAAGCAGTCTTGCTGCCTCTGGTGCAGATCTTGTGGTCTTAGGCCATGTTTCTCTCAATGTAGAAGGGATGTTTAGCTTGCTTGGTACCACATTAGCTAACTTCTCCTGACAGATGACACACTCTGTCTGAGGGCTATTGACATCCACATCCAGCTGAAGCCATAAGACAGGTCGCTTTCATGATACTGGCTACTGACAGTTCTTTTTCTTTAGGAAGTTTAAGCTACAGGATTTGCCTCTGACTTGGGAAATGAGTGCGTACAAATAAAAAAATGTATTAATAACTTTTTGTATTGTGGTATACTGTATTTCTAATATATGGTTATCACAAAATCTCATGGCACCCCTGGACTTGCCTCACAGCACACCAGTATGCCGCGGCGCACCATTTGGGAACCACTGCAGTAACCGGGGTCCACTGGGATCCAGCAGTAATGTGAAAATTAGCTTTTTATAATTTGCATAATTAAATATTTTAACATTATTTGTGATTTTCAGTCAAATTGGGTATTAGCTGACCCTGGGGCTTGCATAATTGTGTATGTTTTTTTATTCTGAATGTTTATGGGACACCAGTTTACACAAAATCCAGACTGTATAAACAGCCTCATTTGGAATCTGCATGTCAGCAGTTATTGCTGATAAACATGCCACTAAACTGGTCAGCCTACAGTAGTTGGATGACATAAGACATCAGTCTGTCTTTTGGTTCAGCGTACTCCCACTCTTCCATTTAGTACATATTCAAAAACTCTCACTGAGTTTAAAATGTCTTGATCAAAACTGTTTGAATGTGTGATGTTTTCTTACTGATTGTGTCATTAAGTCAACAAAATATTTTCTTTTGCACAAAATCATAAATTATTCAGTGAACCATCTGATGTTCACACTTTCTCTCTGCAGGCTTTTTGTACACTTTTGCAAATTCTAAACTGAATACTGGATGTGATGTAAGCAATGCCTTGTGGGCATCACGGCCTCAGCCCTTCTCTGTCTGCTAGTTTTCTTGTCACTTTGCATGAATTCAAATAACAAAAGCAAGCCCAGCAGGTGGGGGTGGGGGGGGCGTACGAGAATGACTGAGCTGCCAGCTGCATCTTGCTTCTCGAGAGTGAGGAAAAGCCAAAGTCGACTCATGCAGAAGTTAGTATTTCATCAAGTTTTCTCTCTGTCTGTTCCTCTGTTTTTGTCTTTGTCTACTTTAAGATTAACTCTAAACTAGCAAAGAAAAACTTAAACATACCAGATTTACTTGTTTTGTCATGTAATTGCTGACAAATCTGAATGGATGCCATAATATTTATTTTCACATGGCCTGCTCCGACCTTCTCTGGAATGGT